TTACCGCGATGACTTTATTCAACAAATCACAAAGACATTGGAACAATATATCTAATTTTTGGAATTTGAGCCGCAATAGTAGGGACAGCTCTCAGAATCTTAATTCGAGCCGAACTTGGCCAACCTGGCTCATTAATTGGAGATGATCAAATTTACAACGTAATTGTTACAGCCCACGCATTCGTAATAATTTTTTTTATAGTTATACCTGTAATAATCGGAGGATTTGGAAACTGACTTATTCCTCTAATATTAGGGGCCCCTGATATAGCTTTTCCCCGACTCAATAACATAAGCTTTTGACTTCTCCCCCCATCTTTTCTTCTATTACTCAGATCAGCTGCAGTAGAAAGAGGAGCAGGAACAGGTTGAACCGTATACCCTCCTCTAGCATCAGGTATAGCTCACGCAGGAGCCTCAGTAGACTTGACAATCTTTTCTCTCCACTTAGCAGGAGTATCATCAATTTTAGGTGCAATTAATTTCATTACCACAATTATTAATATACGAACATCCGGAATAGTACTTGAACGAATACCATTATTCGTTTGATCAGTTAAAATTACTGCAATCCTTCTTCTTCTATCTCTCCCTGTTCTTGCTGGAGCTATTACAATACTCCTAACAGATCGAAACTTCAATACATCATTTTTTGACCCTGCAGGAGGGGGTGACCCAGTCCTATACCAACATTTATTTTGATTTTTTGGGCACCCTGAAGTCTACATTTTAATTCTTCCTGGGTTTGGAATAATCTCTCATATTATTAGCCACCAAACAGGAAAAAAGGAACCTTTCGGGACTCTTGGAATAATTTATGCCATATTAGCTATTGGCATTCTTGGTTTTATAGTATGAGCTCACCATATATTTACAGTGGGAATAGACGTAGACACACGAGCATACTTCACAGCAGCTACAATAATCATTGCTGTTCCCACAGGAATTAAAATCTTTAGATGACTAGCTACCCTACATGGATCACAACTCTCATACGACCCACCTCTTCTATGAGCCCTAGGGTTTGTTTTCTTATTTACAATCGGAGGATTAACTGGAGTAATCCTAGCTAACTCCTCCATTGATATTATCCTCCATGACACATACTACGTCGTAGCCCACTTTCACTATGTCCTCTCAATAGGAGCAGTATTTGCAATCTTAGCAGGGGTCACTCATTGATTTCCATTATTCTTTGGAATAGCAATAAACCCAAAATGACTAAAAATTCACTTTTTAGTTATATTTATTGGAGTAAACGTCACTTTCTTCCCTCAACATTTCCTAGGTTTAAGCGGAATACCCCGACGATATTCAGACTACCCAGATGCTTTCACTACCTGAAATGTTTTATCATCCTTAGGCTCTCTCCTCTCTTTTATTGCCGTCATAGGATTCATCTTCATTATATGAGAATCCATCATTAGAAAACGCCCTATTATTTTTTCTAACCATCTTCCCTCCTCAGTAGAATGACAACACAATATTCCACCAGCAGACCATACATATAATCAATTAACAATATTAATCAAATAACTTATGGCAACTTGATCCCACCTCCTATTTCAAGACAGAGCTTCCCCTACTATAGAACAAATAATTTTCTTTCATGATCACACAATAATTATCTTAACCTTAATTACAACTCTAGTTGTATACATAATAATAAATACTATATACAATTCCTTTACTAATCGAGTTCTTTTAGAAGGTCAAGAAATTGAAACGTTCTGAACCATCATCCCAGCACTCATATTAATCTTTATTGCCTTACCCTCACTCCGACTTTTATACCTTATAGACGAAATTAATAATCCTGCTCTAACAGTAAAAACCATTGGTCACCAATGATATTGGTCATATGAATACTCAGACTTCTCCTCCATCGAATTTGATTCCTATATAATCCCTAGAAGAGAAAACCTCCCCTCCTCATTCCGATTATTAGATGTTGACAACCGCACAATCCTTCCAATAAACACCCAAATTCGAATAATAATTACTGCTGGTGACGTTATCCACGCTTGAACAGTTCCAGCTCTAGGTATAAAAATTGATGCAATCCCAGGCCGTTTAAACCAGTCCTCAATTATAATTAACCGCCCTGGCCTATTCTTCGGACAATGCTCAGAAATTTGTGGAGCAAATCACAGCTTCATACCAATTGTTGTTGAAAGTGTAAACACTTCGTCCTTCATCAAATGAATAAATTCAATAGTAGAATCGCTAGGTGACTGAAAGAAAGTAATGGTCTCTTAAACCAACCCATAGTAGTCTTCGCCTACTCCCAGCGAAAAAGATTAGTTAACCCAATAACACCAACTTGTCAAGATGGAGTCACTTACTAAAGTATCTTTTAATTCCTCAAATAGCCCCTCTTAATTGAGCCATAATAACAATCATATTTTCTCTCTCCCTTTTAGTTTCAATAATTATCCTTTACTCAAATTTCAACTCAACTCCTCCAACAAAAATAAAAATAAAAACCTCCCAAAAATTAATTTGAAAATGATAACAAATCTTTTCTCCATTTTCGACCCCTCTACATCTCAATCTATCTCTCTTAACTGAGTTAGAACACTTCTAATTATCCTATCTACACCTTATTTATATTGAGTAATTCCTTCCCGCCTTCAAATCCTAATTATCAATATATTCAACATCCTCAATAAAGAACTTTCAATTCTACTATCAAATTCAAAAAAACCTGGAATAACTTTCCTCCTAATCTCCCTATTTTGACTAATCTCAATAAATAACTCCTTAGGCCTTCTACCACATATCTTCACATCTACAAGACATATTATAATAACTCTCTCATTAGCCCTTCCAATCTGAATAACAATTATACTATTCGGATGATTAAATAACACTACCCATATATTTGCCCATTTAGTTCCCCAAGGAACCCCACCAGCCCTAATAATATTCATAGTCTGCATTGAATCTATTAGTAATCTTATTCGACCAATCACATTATCAGTTCGCTTAGCTGCAAATATAATTGCTGGTCACCTCCTGCTTACCCTTCTCAGAAATAGAGCAGTCATGTCTAGACTTTCTACTACACTAACAATTTCTATTGCCCAAATTGCCCTCCTTACTTTAGAAATAGCTGTAGCACTAATTCAAGCCTACGTATTCGTAGTTTTATCAACACTTTACTCCACAGAAATCCACTAATGGCCAAACACACACATCCATTCCACATAGTAGACCAAAGTCCATGACCCTTAACTGGAGCTCTAAGAGCTCTCACTTTAACAATAGGACTCATTAAATGATTTCATAAAATAAATCCTAACCTATTAATACTAGCTATATTTATTACTTTAGTAACAATAATCCAATGATGACGAGATATCATCCGAGAATCCACCTTCCAAGGAAACCACACTTCAATTGTAATATCAGGACTACGGTGAGGAATAATCCTATTCATCGTATCAGAAATTCTATTTTTCGCTTCATTTTTCTGAGCATTTTTCCATAGAAGACTTTCCCCAAGTATTGAACTAGGATCCTCTTGACCACCTTCAGGTATTTCACCTTTTAATCCTTTTCAAATCCCTCTTCTTAATACCGCAATTTTACTATCATCAGGCGTAACCATTACTTGAGCCCACCACAGAATTATGGAAAACAATCACCCTCAATCTCTTCAAGCCCTATTCCTTACTATCATCTTAGGTCTTTACTTCACTAGCCTGCAAGCCTGAGAATACTGAGAAGCCCCATTCTCTATTGCAGACTCAGCCTACGGAACAACCTTTTTTGTAGCCACAGGTTTTCACGGACTTCACGTAATCATTGGCACATCATTCCTTTCCATCTGCTTCATCCGCCTAATATTTTTTCACTTTTCCCCTAATCACCACTTTGGGTTTGAAGCTGCCGCATGATACTGACACTTTGTTGATGTAGTTTGACTCTTCCTCTTTATCTCTATTTACTGATGGGGATCTTATCTTTTTAGTATAAAAAGTACATTTAGCTTCCAACTAAAAAGTTTAAAACCTTAAAAAAGATAATTAAATCAATCCTAACCTCAATCATTTTATCAATTACATTAAGATTCATTCTTATTATTCTATCTCTAATCTTATCCAAAAAATCCACCCTAGATAAAGAAAAAAGATCTCCTTACGAATGTGGATTCAATCCATTCTCATCCTCCCGAATTCCATTTTCCCTACGATTCTTTTTAATTTCAATTATCTTCCTAATTTTTGATGTAGAAATCGCCTTACTACTTCCCATCCCACTAACTACCTCTTTAAAAAACTCTATAATTACCTTATCCATCTTCCTAATAATTCTAATTTTAGGCCTATTCCATGAATGAAATCAAGGAGCATTAGAGTGAGCAAATTAAGGTAAGTATTTAAATCATAAAATCTAATTTGCGATTAGAAATCATTGGAAAACCCAATCTTACCTAATAAAATAGAAAGCGAAAATTTGCATTCAGTTTCGACCTGAACCCTTGGTTAAAAACCTCTATTTTCAATAGAAGCCAAATAAAGAGGCATCTCACTGTTAATGAGAAGATTGAAATTAATTTCCTATTGAAGAAATACGAATGAACTAGAAGAGCTGCTAACTCTTCCATAGCGGTTAAATTCCGTTATATTTCTATTTCTATGGTGTAATCAACACTTAATATTTTCATTATTAAAATGGGTAATTTTTCCCTAGAAATATCCTTAGATTATTTAATCTCCATAGCATCTTCAAAGCCATACTCTTTCTATAAGCTATAAGGATATAATATTAACATCAAAAAAGTAAAAATAATTACTCAAATTGCAAAAGACACCAAATACATCTTTAAATTATTATCCTGAAATCACTGAAAAATCCTAGAACCAATTACTATCCCTTCAAAAACACCTTGGGGTCCTATTCACTCTCCTCACCTTAAATCACTTCTCAAAAAATAACCCCCTAATCTTAATTTAGATAAAAGAGGATTTGAAGATAATCAAGGTAAAAATCACATTAACCCTAAAAAGTGATTCACTCTCTTCCCTGTTAAAAATAAATATCTTCCACTAACTCCTCACAAAATTAATCCTATTCATAATCCCACAATTACACATAAAACCCCTATAACCCTATAAAAAATTGGAACAAACACAAAGCAAGGAATAGGAAACAAAATCCACATTAAAGTAGACCCTATAATAACAGCCCAAAAAGATAAAAAAATAATAGAAACACTAACGATCCTCCCTTCCCCGAAATTTCTAAAAAACATAAAGAAATTTCGTCCCATAATATAAAAAAACAATCGAAAAGAATAACAAGCAGTCAACCCAATAGAAACTCTAAAAAAAATAAAAATAAAAAAATTAAAATTAAAAAAAGATACATTTTCCAAAATTAAATCCTTAGAATAAAAACCAGCCAAAAAAGGAATTCCACACAAAGATAAATTAGCAAGATTAAAACAAGATCCAACCACAGGTCTAAACTCAATTATTCCTCCCATATATCGTAAATCCTGAGCCCCACCTCTTCTATGAATTACAGACCCTGCACAAAGAAAGAGAAGGGCCTTAAACAAGGCATGAGTAAGCATATGAAAATAAGCTAACTTTCAATACCCAAAAGAAATTGATAATATTATTACTCCTAATTGTCTTAAAGTTGATAAAGCAATTACCTTTTTTATATCTATCTCATAATTTGCCCCCAATCCAGATATAAATATTGTTATACAAGAAATAAACATTAAAACACAAGAAAACACTCCCACTCTAAAATATTGTCTTAGCCGAATTAAAAGATAAACACCAGCAGTCACTAAAGTTGAAGAATGAACTAAAGCGGAAACTGGAGTAGGGGCAGCTATAGCTGCCGGAAGTCAAGCAGAGAAAGGAATCTGTGCTCTTTTGGTTAAAGCCGCCAAGACTACACAACCTCCTACCCAATAAAACTCCCTCCCTATATCTTCTAAAAGTACATAAGAAAAATAATTTCAATTTCCAAAATTTAATATCCAAACAATTCCAATTAAAATTCCCACATCACCAATACGATTAGATAAAACAGTAATTATTCCTGCATTTAAAGACCGATTATTTTGATAATAAATCACCAAACAATACGATACTAATCCCAACCCATCTCAGCCTAACAAAATTGAAATCAAATTCGGTCTCAAAATTAATAACCCTATTGATAATACAAACAACAAAACAAGATAACAAAACCGATTTAAATTTTCATCTCCCTCTATATATTCTTCTCTATAAAAAATCACCACCGAAGAAATTAACATAACAAAAGATAAAAATATTAGAGATACTCAGTCAAAAACCATTATAAACTCAACAGGACATCCATTTATGGAAAATAAATAATATTCAACAAACACAGCAAAATCAGAAAAAATAAAAAACAAAGAAAAAGAGAAAAATATTACAAACATCAACAACAAAAACAAAGCCCATAATCCATAAACAGATCAAAACAAGACTCAAGACAATCTTATAAACTGCACCTTTGAGACCACAACCCAAAATTCTTTTTAAACTACTTAAGCTCTAAAATCAATATAATCACAAATCAAGATTCAAAATCAATAAATTTAAAGGAACTAAATGTAAAAGTAACAACAAAAATTCACGAAAATTAACCCCTTCAATACAAAAAACTGCTCAACTTTTTCCATGCTGTGTAGAAGAAAACATAAACAAAGAATAATAAGCCGAAAAAAAAGATAACATCCCTAAACATACTACAGTTCATTCTCTTCATCCCACCAATCTCACCATTAAAGAAATCTCTCCAAATAAATTTATTGAAGGAGGAGCCGCCATATTAAACACACAAAACAAAAACCATCATAAAGCCAACGAAGGAAACACTCTTATTATACCCCTTAACAACACTAATCTTCGAGAAAAAAAGCGTTCATACACAACATTTGCTAAACAAAATAATGCAGAAGAACACAATCCATGAGCAACCATCAATAAAAGAGCCCCCCCACATCCTCATCTTCTTAGTGTTATTACACCCCCTAAAACAATTCCCATATGACCAACAGAAGAATAAGCAATTAAAGACTTCAAATCAACCTGACGCATACAAATAAATCTAGTAAATAATCCCCCAATTAATCCTACTCTTACCAATCATCCACCCTGACTTTTTACAAAACTCTGAAATAATCATAATACCCGAAACAATCCATACCCCCCTAGCTTCAATAAAACCCCTGCTAACACCATTGACCCTGCAATAGGAGCCTCCACATGAGCCTTTGGTAACCAAAGATGAAATAAAAACATAGGAAGCTTCACCAAAAAAGCAACAACAAATACAAAAAATCAAAACCACCCCATACTTACCCCTTTCAATTCTAAATAATAAAACACCGCACTCCCCTCACATCCATATAACCTAAAAATACCTACCAAAAAAGGTAGAGAAGCACATAATGTATAAAAAAGCATATAAATCCCAGCCTGAAGACGTTCAGGCTGACCCCCTCAACCAATAATCATTAACAAAGTAGGAATTAAAACAGATTCAAAAGAAACATAAAAAAATAATAAATCTAAACAACAAAATCTCAAAAACAAAAAAACTAAACTCAAAACAACCAAGAATGAGAACTTTACCTTTTCATTATTATTTTTATAAACCTTATATCTAGCCATTAACATTAAAGAACAAATTCAACAAGACAATCCAAATAAAGAATAACTTAACAAATCTCCCCCTAGTATTAAAGAAAAACAGTTAAACCCAGAAAAACGATAGATAAATAGTAGACTCAAAAAACTTACAAAAAACAACCCAAACTGAATAACTTCCCATGAACAAACAAAGGTACACAAACTCAATATAAATAAAAATATAAAAATACCTAACATTCAAGTAACTTCATTCTTGAAAAATAATCATTACCATGAGACCGAATCACTAATACAAGAATTCTTAACCCTAATCTGCCCTCGCATACAACTATTGTAAGAAAAAACAATAAAAATCTCTCTTCCCCCAATCTTCCCCCCACTAAACGAACCATTAACAAAAATCTACCTAAAACTATAAATTCCAATCTTAACAATATTGATAATAAATGCTTACGATTTCTCAAAAAACTTATTAGCCCTAAAAAATACACTAAAATTCCTAAAAGCACCTCATTAAAATTAATTAACATTAGTTTCAGTAGTTTAAACAAAACCTCGGTCTTGTAAACCGAAGAAGGGTCAACTAACCCCTAAAACATTCAGAAAAAAGAATTTCTCCCATCACTGATCCCCAAAACCAATATTTTCAACTTAAACTATTTTCTGAAAATCACAAAAATCATCATCCTATCCACAATCTACTCCTCAGTTTTATTTCTCATTTCCTATCACCCTATCATAATAATTATAAACCTAATCCTAACCACAATTCTTGTTAGCTTAATAACAACACTCCTAATAAAAACCTCTTGGTTCTCCTACACTCTATTTCTCATTATACTAGGGGGAATACTAGTGGTATTCATTTACATTGCAAGATTAGCCCCAAACGAATCTTTCAAAATATTAACAAAAATCCCCTTACTAATCATCCTCTCAATACCACTTTTATTCACCACAATTTCATTTAAAACCTCTATTTATCCAGAAATATATAAAATTTCCATTTCAAAAATTTTCTCCAATCTTCCTATATTAACAACTCTTTTTTTAGTAACCTTTCTACTAATTACTCTTATTGCTGTAGTGAAAATTACAAAAATCTCCCAAGGCCCAATTCGACACAATTAATGACAACACCCATTCGAAAATCACACCCTTTAATAAAAATTATCAATTCATCCCTTATTGATCTTCCTTCACCATCAAACATTTCATATATATGAAATTTCGGCTCCCTATTAATCCTCTCCCTATCAATCCAAATCTTAACGGGAATTTTCCTCTCCATGCATTATACATCTGACATTTCACTTGCATTTTCCAGAATCTCACATATTTGCCGTGATGTAAACTACGGATGAATATTTCGAGTAATTCATGCAAACGGAGCTTCACTTTTCTTTATCTGCCTTTATCTTCACGTAGGACGAGGTATTTATTATGGCTCTTACATAAATCACATAACATGAAATTCTGGCATTATCATTCTTCTCCTTTCAATAGCAACAGCATTTCTAGGCTATGTCCTCCCATGAGGACAAATATCCTTCTGAGGAGCAACAGTAATCACCAACTTAGTCTCAGCAATTCCATACATCGGGCAACTTCTAGTCCAATGATTATGAGGAGGATTCTCAGTTGGTAATGCTACCCTCACCCGATTTTTTACTTTACACTTTATATTACCATTCATAATTTTAGCTATAATTATACTTCATATTCTATTTCTTCACCAAACAGGATCTAATAACCCCTTAGGTATCAACAGAAACACCGACAAAATTCCTTTCCACCCTTACTTTTCCTCAAAGGACATTTTTGGCTTCCTTTTAATTTTAATACTATTTTCAGTAATTTCCATAACCTCCCCCTACTTATTGAGAGACCCAGAAAACTTCAATCCAGCTAATCCTCTTGTAACCCCAATTCATATTCAACCAGAATGATACTTCTTATTTGCATATGCCATTCTACGATCAATCCCTAACAAATTAGGGGGAGTAATTGCACTTCTCCTTTCAATCCTTATTTTATTCATCCTCCCCCTTACTAATAACCCCAACTTTCGAAGCCTAAATTTCTACCCCATCAATCAATTCACTTTCTGAGCCCTAATTTCCGTATTTATTCTCCTCACATGAATTGGCTCCCGTCCCGTAGAAGAACCTTATGAACTAATTGGCCAAATTCTCACAATTACTTACTTTTCATATTTCATTATCAACCCTATCCTTTTAAAAATTTGGGATAAAATTCTCTGACTATTTAGCTATATATTACTAAGCTTTTGTTTTGAAAACAAAAGAAAGAAGCTAATTACTTCTAATAGTCTTATTCTTAATTATATGCAAACAACTACAAAAAACAAACAAGCCCCAAACGAAAAAAGCAAATAATTTAATGCCAAAGGTAAATAAATCCTTCACGCCAAACCCATTAACCTATCATAACGAAATCGAGGAAAAGTCCCACGAACCCACAAAAACAAAATTCTTAAAATCACTACCTTTCCAATAAACATCCCCCCCAGACCCCCAAGAAAAATTACCACTCTAATCAATCTCATAAACAAAATATTTCCATATTCAGCTATAAAAATAAGAGCAAATCCTCCTCTTCTATACTCCACATTAAATCCAGACACCAACTCAGACTCCCCCTCAGCAAAATCAAAAGGAGAACGATTTGTCTCAGCTAAACAAGATGAAAATCATACAATCGCTAAAGGAAAAAACCCCCAAACCATTCACCACTCATTCTGAGCACCCCCAAATCTCAACAAGTCATATCCCCCAACTAAAACAACACAAGACAAAATAATAAGAGCCAAACTTACCTCATAAGAAATAGTTTGAGCCACAGCCCGATAAGCTCCTAATATAGCATATTTAGAATTTGATGATCAACCAGCTCCTATTATAGCATAAACCCCAAAGCTAGAAACACATAAAAAAAATAATAACCCTAACTCAAAATCTACCATATTAAAAAAAATAGGAAAAATTAATCACAAACACAAAGCCAAACAAAGTCTAAAAACCGGACTTACAAAATAAAATAAAAAATTAGATAAAAAAGGATAACTCTGCTCCCTACAAAATAACCTAATCGCATCAGAAAAAGGTTGTAAAACTCCTATCACTCCTACTTTATTGGGCCCTTTACGAATCTGAATATACCCTAAAATCCTTCGCTCCAACAAAGTTAAAAAAGCTACCCCAACTAAAACACAAATCAAAATAACAACATAACAAACAATAAAACTTATTAACAATATTGAAGAGAAGTCATACTTCTATAAATGAAGCTTAAATTCATTGCACTAATCTGCCACCCCAATCACTAACCGAGAAACTTATTATTCCCATCCTTAGATTCTAAATCTAATACACTTATCTGCCAGATTAATTAACATAAAATAAAAATAAATAAAATAAACAAAATTTATAATGTTTGGTCCTTTCGTACTAAAACATCCTCCCTAATAACTAAAGATAGAAACCGACCTGGCTCACGCCGGTCTGAACTCAAATCACGTAAAGATTTAAAGGTCGAACAGACCTTCATATAGAACTTCTCCGCCCTACTGACTCTTTAATTCAACATCGAGGTCGCAAACTTCTTCGCCGATAAGAACTCTCCGAAAAAATTACGCTGTTATCCCTACAGTAACTTACTCCTATTACCACTAAAAGTGGGTCAAAAATTCACAAATAAGTATTATTATAAAAAAAAAGATAAGTTTCTTTCTCTACCGCCCCAGTAAAACTCTCTTAGCCTTTCCCAACCGAAAATTAATAAAAAAAACCAAAAAAGTAAAGCTTAATAGGGTCTTCTCGTCCCTTAGTAAAATTTCAGCTTTTTCACTAAAAAATAAAATTCAAAATCTATTTCCAAGACAGATTTTTTTACGTCCAACCATTCATACTAGCCCTCAATTAAAAAGCAAATGATTATGCTACCTTCGCACGGTCAATATACCGCGGCCATTAAATCTCCTCATTGGGCAGGTCCGATTTTTCATAAAAACAAAAAACCATGTTTTTGATAAACAGGCGAAAAAAATATTTGCCGAGTTCCTTAAAAAAAATTAACCTACAGTCTTTTTTACTACAACCCTTAATAACAATTCTAACTCTCCTCACTTCTACTAATACAAACATTTTAAAAATTTGTTAACAATTATCAATACATCCTTGATACTAAACCTAAAAATAAAATAAAAAAAAATAAATCTACTATTACACAAAATGATCATTTCTAAATCTACAACTAATCTTTCCTACAAACCTTATAAATATATCTAGAGATTATCCCCTAGATACTCACTTCCTGAAAATAAAAAAATAAAAAAAAATAACTTTTATTTTCAAAAGCTGAACTAAATTCATTTCTCAAAGAACCAGATATCAAAAAGATCGCTTGACATTTCACCTCCAACACAAAATAAAACTTGATTTTACTACATCAATTTCAATTTCATATTAACTCTCTTTCCTTCGGGAAAAATAAATAAATAATTTCAATTATTCACCCCTGATACAAAAGGTACAAGATTTAATCTTTTCTAATATCCTAATAAATATTTCACCATATTTCATCCTTCCTTCACAGTACTAATAAAATATAATCATCCAAAATCATTCAATACAACTTACTCAACTAATAAAATACTTTTAAATTACAAACAAATAAGATTTTAAAATCAAAATAATTAGATTTGCACTAATCCCTACTCAGTGTAAATGAGCTGCTTCCTACAAGCTCTACTTTGCCCTCCTAGATACATTTTCCAATACATCTACTATGTTACGACTTATCTCACCTAAAAGCGAGAGCGACGGGCGATGTGTACATGCCTTAGAGCCCTATTCACAATTACATATTTAATAAAAAATTACTTTCAAATCCACCTTCAATTCTATCCTTTCAATAAAACATCCGTATTAATAAATTAATTGTAATCCACTTCAACCTTTACCATAAGCTGCACCTTGACCTGACATAAAAAATAAATTTTAAACGATAGCTTTAACTCTATAAAGGCAATCAAAGACGGCGGTATACAAACTGTAATAACAAAATAAAGTAAAATTAAACGAGGACCATCGATTACAGAGCAGATTCCTCTGAACAGCTTAAAGCACCGCCAAATTTTTTAGGTTTCATGATCAACAATTACTACCCTAATTTCCTTTACACCTTAAAATAACAGGGTATCTAATCCTGGTCTATAATCAAAGCTTCAAAAAAACAAAAACTAACCTATTATCCCCAACTATAAAAATTCTACCTTTCAAGATAAATATAATAAGTATTAAAAACTCATAATTTTAAAAATCAAAAAGTTTAACTAAGGTCCTCTGTCTAACCGCGGTAGCTGGCACAATTTTAACCGACCTAACTTATAAATTACCGAACCTCACCCTAATGAGTTATTCAGAACTAAATACTACGAAAAAAACAACAAAAATCAATTAAATTGTCATAGAAATCTAAGTATGTTTATATTATTTATACAGTTAAAGAAAAATCAAAATCAAATTTAATGTTCTTTTTATATATACTCGGTAAAATTCTTATTATTTCTACTTTTTTTACATTGTAGAAATAATATTATATTATTTATATGAAATTATAAGACTAAAAATTTTAAAAAATCTATTTCCAAGTAAAAATTTTTATTTATATAATAATTAATAAATGTATACCCCCCATTATGCTTAAATTGTCTTAAGATATTTTTATAATTTACTTATTCTTCATGTGGTTTATTTATTCTACCAAATGATAATCAGGATCATAGTTTAGTATACTTTAATCGCCCATTTAAGATAGAATAATTTATAAGTGTTCATTAGATAATAGATGAGATATTTCTTTGAAAAAGTATAATAGTGTAATTACTCAACATTCAAAAAGGTGAAGTGCCTGATTAAAGGATTATTTTGATGGAATAAATCAAATAGGGAAACCCTATCTCCACCTAATTTTAATGGTTTGAACCATCCCTTTTGAAATCAAAATTCAACGTGCCGTACACCAAAAATTAGAAAAGTAAGCTAATTTAAGCTATTGGGCTCATAACCCACTGATAGAAGTTATAATCTTCTCTATTCTAATCCTAACTCTTCCCATTATCAACCTATTCTCCTTACCACTCATTCTAGGGACAATAATCACAATGAGATCTTCTTCTTGACTTATAGCTTGAATAGGCTTAGAAATAAATCTAATAGGATTTATCCCACTTATCTCTACCCATTCAAACAAACGAGCCTCAGAAGCATCTCTTAAATATTTTCTTATTCAAACAATTGCTTCCTCCACATTTCTATTCTCCTTTTTATTATCATCTTCCTTCTCTATTATTCAATTCACTATAATAACCCCATGAATAATTCCTTTCATAGTTATTTTAACCCTAAGAGTTAAACTAGGAGCTGCCCCCTTCCACATATGACTTCCAACAGTCGCAGAAGGATTATCTTGAACAAATTGCCTCATTTTAATATCATGACAAAAAATAGCCCCCCTCTCCATCATCTCCATAATTTTTCCAAAAAATCCCCTCATTATTATCATCGCCACCCTTTCTGCAATCAGAGGATCAATAGGGGGATTAAATCAAACATCTCTCCGAAAAATTTTAGCCTTTTCATCTATTTCTCATATAGCATGAATACTTTCCTCTATACTAATCTCAAAAATATTATGATTATTTTATATTTTTATCTACTCAATTATTATTTCTTCAATCATCTTATGTTTTGCCCCCTTCAACATACTCCACATTAATCAAGTTTCCACAAACCAAAATAAAAAACTTAATTCTCTCATCACCATTAATCTCCTTTCTCTAGGAGGATTACCCCCTTTTCTAGGTTTTTTACCAAAATGGTTAATCATATTCTATTTACTTCAAATAAACATATTCCTCATAGTTTCAATTCTAATCATCTCAACTCTCATCAATCTCTATTATTATACTCGAATTTCCTATTCCTCACTACTCTTAATCAATTCAAACAATAAATGAATAAAAACAAAAACACCACCATTAACAAAGCAACTTCCACTTTCCATAATCTCATTATTTGGTCTGATCACCTCAATATTAACATTTACCTTATTATAAGATTTTAAGTTATCAAAACTAGTAACCTTCAAAGTTACCAAAAAAAGTCAACTCTTTTATATCTTAAGCCCTAACACCTAAATGTATCTTTAAATTTGCAATTTAAAATTTTAATTAAACTATAAAGCCTTGATAAAGAAGATAAAAATCTCATATGTAGATTTACAATCTACCGCCTAAAACTCAGCCACT